TTGGCAGCAGCAGAAACATCTTGTAGGTATTACAGGGCTCGGTAAAAGCAGATTCCTAGACCCCTCCCCAGACATCCTGGATCAACATCAGGATAGGCAGGACATGGAAATTTATACTCCAAGCAACTCATAGGAACTTCGGTGCATGTCCAAGTCAATGATGGCCTCAGCACAGGGTCTGAGCTCCCCAGGTCCAGGGGATATTAGTAGTTCGATGTCACTGACCAACACTGATTAGGACTCCTCTTTTGCATCAGGCCATGATGGCAGGACACCTGCCAATCCCTTCAGGAGATGCCTTCAGGGAGCGGCCTCACTACAGAGCACTTGTGGGGGGAAGGCACAGGGTGTCTGGGTGGCAAGGACAGGGGCCCAGAGCCCTGCTGCCATGCCAGCATCTGAAGCAGAACTGTCTGCCCTGAAAATTCAGGATAGACCAAGACTTCGTCTTATGAAGAAAAATTTGCCTGAGTAACAGAAGCAAAGGAGGCTGGAGCTCTCAGGAGTCCTCTTCGCATCTGGCCATCCTACCTTAGGGCCTGAGACAAACCCTTTCCTGGCAGCCCTTCACCCTGGATTCTTAAGAAGAGTTCCAGTGAGACACCTACTCCCCCTCTCTGCAGGGGCACCCCTCCTCCTTCTCCTGACATGACTGTAAGCACTACTTGGAAGGAAACAGTTCAGCTGAGGCCTGTGTGACTAAAAGGAACCAGCCATGTGAAGATCTAGGGACAGAGTATTCTAAGAAGAAAGGCAAATGGGAAGGCCTGGAGGTGGGATGAGCTTGGATGCTGGAGAAACAAAGTGAGGGGTTGGGGGGCCTTATGGCCAGGGCCTAGGCAGAATTGAAGAGGAAGGCAGGGGCCAGATCCTGCTGGGACCGCAGGGTGTGCAGGCACTCACACTACTCTCCATCTATTTCAGCTCTGCCTTCCAGGCATGAGGTAGGATTATACTTCCTGGCTCTCTTGGGTGGGACTGTGGGGCCAGTTCTGGCCAATGGATTGTGACCAGACACGATCCACTGTGTCCGAGCTGAGCCATTGATGGCTAGTGGGTGTACCTCTGGAGTGGCTGCTGTCAGGCTGGGTCCTCAAGTGAGGGTGACCTGGAGTAGTAGACCAATGATGGACGAATGAGAAACAAACCTTTGTTGATTTGTTACTGAGATTTGGGGACTATTTGTTATGACATCCCCTAATCTATCCTGACTCTTACATAGATCATTCCATTCTGGCTGAAGAGAGAGGGGCAAGAAGAGAAGTGAACAAAGCAGCCAAACTGAGCAGAAAAGACCCTTCCTTTCCTGTATCTCAAACCTCATCTCCCCAATTCAAATCCTAGAGTAGAAACTGTAGCAGGAGGAAAGATGAGGACATGGACATTGAAATCAAATCTCCCAAGGACGTATCTCAGCTACCCCAGTAGTCTATTGAATAAGGTTGGCCCTGAGCAATCAGGCGCTACCTCTCCTTATGCCTCAACTGCTGCATCTGCATAATGGGGATAATCATGTTTCTTTAATAGGACTGCATGGGAGGATCAAGCCAAATTATAAATGTATGCAAGGACATAGTGGTATCCAGCATACACTCTTTTTTTTTTTTTTTTTTGAGACTGAGTCTTGCTTTGTCACCCAGGCTGGAGTGCAATGGCATGATCTTGGCTCACGGCAGCCTCCGCATCCCAGGTTAAAGCAATTCTCCCTGGTTCAGCCTCCTGAGTATCTGGGATTACAGGCGCCCACCACCACATCTGGCTGTGTGACCTCAAGTGATCCACCCACCTCAGACTCCCCAAGTGCTGGGATTACGGTGTGACCCACCACACCCAGCCATCCCTTTAGACAGAGCATACACTATTATAATGCCATCTTATACTCCAGCCCTCAATCCTGCTCCTTCATCCTCAACCACCAGCCTCCAGTGCCCAATCCTGGTTCCTAATCATCTCCCCTATACCATGAGCCCCAAGGGCAGATCCTGCCGCTGACTCACCTCTCCCTCCCACCTCTTTCCTGCAGATGCTGAAGAGGGGTGTTATGGTGCCAACAGGAGCAGCCTGGGTACGAACTGCTCATAAACACACACACACAGACATGTGAGTAGATCAGGCCCCGACACTGTGTACATTCAAACAGCCCCCAAAGCAAAGTTCCCAAACAAGAAGGTGGTGGACATTCTCCCCTGGGCTCACATGAAGTCTAAAAAATTATTTTTTACCAGTTAAAAATTTTAAATCAGAATATTTCACATACGACGGCTTCTGTTGAAAATTTGGAAGACGGGGCTATACTGTGCCCCAGACCCCTTCCCCGACAACCAGCACCTGGAGCAGAAGAGACAGCTGTCCCTTGAGATGGGATCCTTGTGCCCTGTCCCCAGCGCTGCCCTTTGCCTCCCTGGCGATGGAGCCCAGCGTCTGTATGGTTGCCTCCGGAGCTTTAGCTGGTGTTTTTTATAGTAGACTTAAGAGGAAAGCAAAACATTTTTCATAACCCTTCTCTCAAAAGTGGGAAACAAAAGACAGACCGAGAGAGGGCCTCGTGTCTCAAGAAATATAGGAGAGCTCATATCTCTTTGTGGAAGCAAGACCATTCCTTGTATCGCCTAGCCTGCAGCGCCAATTTATATTATCGACCGGCCCCGTAGGCGTTTGAGTTTGCGACCCTGCCCTCACCCTTCTCATTCCCCTCCCGACCCAGACTAGGACCCTCTCTTTTTCCGATCACTCGCCGCAAGGCACACGGCGTGCAGCTGTCATTTTCTTTCTCCTTCAAGGCAGTCCTCTGTTTATTTTAGCCGGATTAGGGAATGGGGGTGGGGCGCAGGAGACTCCAGCAGCGGTCACTGCTGGAGGCTCCAGGAGACGACGTGACTTGCCCAAGGTCACAGAGCTAGAAGGTGAAGTCGCCTAGACCCTACCCCCGATTTCTCTAGCTGCCAAAGCCCAGCTCGTTCCTTCCCACCCACGTCGCGGGCGCCGTGCGCTCTCGGGGCTCAAACACCTCGCGCCCAGTCGGGTGCTCTGCGCCCAAAGGTTGTTTTCCTTCGGCGAACTGCGCCGAGGGGTTAGGGAAACCTTGGGTCATGGTGGGAGGCGCGCCCCTGGAATCCACCAGGCTGCGAGACTGGGATTGCGGGAGTCCCCGAGTCTGGCCTGCCAGCTCTGGTGGCCACCTCTGCGCTCGGGCCGGGGCCCCGGCGCTCTCCCGCAGTCCCCTAACCAAGCCGCGGGCTGGCAGCATACCGCGGCGCCCGGACAGTCCCGGAGCGCGGCCGCGAGGAAGGGGCGGGGAAGAAGACTGCAGCGGAACCTGCCCGGGGCACCCCTGCCCTGGGCGGCTCTCCGCAGGCTGGCGCCGCGCCGGGGTCGCCGCAGCCCCGGGCCCCTCCCGGGCCACCTGTGCGCAGACTGGCGGGCCTGCGAGAGCCCGGATCCGGAGCACCGATCCACTCCGGGTTTCAGACTCCTGCCCCTGTCCCTGGAGACCGCGCGGGGCGGTGGGAGGCCTCCACGCCCACCACCCCAAGCCCCTCCCTGGGGGAGCCTCAGGCATCGCCCAGAGGGATTCCCGGTGCTGGGGGTGGCCCGCGCGCGCGTCGCGGGGCGGCCCGGCCCCTCCTTCCCTCCCCAGCCCTCCCAGCCGCCGCCCCGCTCCGTCGCTCCAGTCCGGGTTTTGCGGCGCCCACCGGCCGGCTCTCCGGCTGCGGGCTCCGCGGCGCGGCTGGCTCGGTGCGCGGCGCGGCTGGCGCTGCGCTCCGCCCGGCTGCATTGCTGCGCTCCCGTGCCCAGGGGAGCCACGCGCCGCGTGCGCCCGGCAGCCGGCCGCCCGGAGGCAGCGCAGTCCGCTGGCATGGGCCCCGGGGGCGCCCCGAGCTGGGGCTCCGGGCTGAGGCGCTGAAAGCCGCCCTCCCGCCCGCGGGGCCCCGCGCCCGGCCCGCCCGCCCGCGGCCATGGCCGTCCGGCCCGGCCTGTGGCCAGCGCTTCTGGGCATAGTCCTCGCCGCCTGGCTCCGCGGCTCGGGTGAGTCACGCCGCGCGCGCTCTGGGGAGGCTTGCGGGGGACCGTGCGCGTGAACGCTCGCTACTCTGGGGGGTCCCTGACCCGCGCTGCCAGACTCGGCTAGGAGCCCCCCGAGGCCAAACTTTGCGAGGCGGGACGCGGGGGCCTCTTCTTGCTGCTGCGCAGCTTCCCCGCGCGCTCTCCCGGAAGCCTGGGTTCTGCCAAGTCCAGGAGCAGCTGTCAGCGCACGGGGCTGGCGAGTGTAGACACCCCACGCCTCCGGGTGGGGGAAGTTTGCTGGTTGCCTGGGCCCGAAGCAGGGCTGGGGGTTTTGATCAACCCCAGGGAGACTGACTTTCAGGATTCGAAGATTAGAGGGTTTTGATCCTATCCCAGTGCCCAGAATATGGGGGGTGCGGGGAGCGGTTAAGATACCTCTTCCCGGTAGCATCTGCCCTAAACAGCCACTCACAATCTCCCAGCTTGGCACCTGGCCTCTGCCCACGTCCAGAACACAGTGTCCTCCTCTGTCCCCGCCACACACGCTCGCACACGCACACACTCAGGCGTGGAGGCGCATACACCCAGCCCCCAGTCCTTGCAGCCAGCACAGTCAAAGCGCCGCGGTCCGAATGGCCGGGGCTGTGGTTCCTGGTCTCCCTGGTGCTGGGGGCCAGAGTTGTGTGCGGTTGGTCCACCAGCTTCCCCTTCTTTCTTAAACTCCATAGCCTTTCTTGGTCCCTGCATGCCCCATTGGTCACCCTAACCCGCTGCTAACTCAGCCCTCACCCCACCTGGTTCCCTTGGGAGGGGGTTTGGGGGAGGAAGTTCCCCTGCATCCTTTGTCTGCTGTCCTGAGCCTTCACCTAGGCTGAGCTGTGGGGGCCTCCTGATCTCTGCCCCCCATGCACTAAGCTGAGCTAAGCTTATGTGTCTGTGGTCGGGGGGAGGGGGGACGGGTGCCATTTGTGTGGTCAAGGGGGCTTGAGGCTTACCTGGCAATTCTCGATTCTTGCTGCCCCTAGAACCTGGGTGGTGACTCCCCAGCCTGGCCAGGCCACTGCTTATAACAGGGGTGTTGGAATGGAGCATTGGGGTTTCTGAGCTGCCAAGCCAGATTGATCAGAGATCAGTGAGTGAGAGCTCGGGGACCAGCCTGATGATTGAGGCTGATGGCTGTTTCCTTAAAGGGTGTCTCTGCACAGCGCATCCTGCACCCACCACTGCCTGTCCGCCCGCCCCATCCTGCCTCCTCAATACCCCTCTCTACTCCATCCCACCCCCTCTATCTCCCTTCTCCATCAGCACCCCTCTTCTTCCCCAGGGCCTCTCCTTCTAATCCTGACCACGCTGAAAGGCTGAACTGTTGGGTGTGTGTCCGTGTCCCACACGTGTGTGTTAGGGGCGTGTGTGTGGCTCTCCAGATAGGGGTGCAGGTTGCACTGTTGTCCATGATGAGGTGGGGGTATTAGTGCCCTACACACAGGTGAGGTGTTGCCCGGCACCCAGTAGGTGCCCTGGAAATGTTTTCTGAGTTGATGCATGTGAGGGCTGGGTGGTCATAGCTGCATGTCGCCCACGTGAGCACGTGTGAAGGCTCTGGGTTGACATGTGTGCCCGGGTGACGAAGGGGGTTGGCATAGTCTGTGCAGCATTGGTATGTGTGCCCTGATGAATGTGTGTGATGGCCAGCATGCCACACATGTGTGACGGCTGTGTGCAGTTGCACAGGTGAGCGTGTACAGATAAGGGGGCACAGGTACCGGTGAATCAGGGCCCTGCAGCCTGGAGCGGGGAGTTGCCAGATGGACTCCTCAGGAGGCTGTGGGGTGGGGAAACTGCATCCCTGGTTGGCAGGGCATCTATTCAGGCCTGGCCCAAGGTTGCCTAGGGAGTTGGCAGGTGGGCACAGGTGCTGCAGGGGCTGAAGCAGAGCCTGCCCCCAAGCATCAACTCTGCCCGTGGGCCTGCGGGAGGAGCTGCTGAAGGCCATGGGAAGGGGGGGCTGGCCCTACTTCTTTGGGACTCCCTTCCCCCTGTGCCCCACAGGCACGGGGCACATGTGGACGCCCAGGCAGGCTGGCCCTGCGGTGACCCCGGCTCCTCCCGCGCTGCCTTTTGCCTCCGTGGCAACAGCCTCCAGTGAAAAATGTGTCTGTGAGCCGCTGAAGGAGGGATGGCCAGTGGGCAGCAGGGGGCGCCGGGGGCCAGCGTGACCGACTGCAGCCGCCTGCTCCCAGGCCACCCGCCCACCCTCTGTTGTTGGACATCACACAAAAGCCTGTCCCTTCATCATGCTCGCACCTGCAGGCCCTCTCTGTGCCCGTGCACGCAAGCACCCATCTGTCTCACAGGATTTTCCCTCTCAAACCCCGTCACACGCAGCTGGCATGCACACTCCCACCCTGCCCCTGTGGTCTCCCTGTCACCCAGACCTCTGCAGTCCTGGGCAGGAGGGGCTTGGGAGCTGGCTCCCTTGAAGATGGGGCTCAGGGGTGCCATGCTCTGGCACTGCCGCATTGCCTAACCTGACCCCAACCATCTAGCCTTGCTCCTCCTTCTCGGACCCCTATCCTCATACTTAGGGCTGACCTAGGACCTGTCTGTCCACCCCCACACCTGGGAGAATGCAGCTGGCTGAGGGGGTCTTAATCCTCCAGGGCTAGGAGATACCCTGCTCCTGCTCACCCTGCCTTGTGGGTGGGGTGGCCTGGGCTTTGGGGTCCCTAGGTCCCCCCAGGGGAGAGCTGGTCCTCTTGTTGCTTGCCTGCTCCCCCACTTGCCTGTGTTGGGAGGGGCTTCTCTCAGGAACCAGGGATAGGCATTGATCCAGGTACCAAGCCCACAACCAAAAGTCACAGCTCTGGTTCCCAGGAGCAGCCAACTTTGGCCTCAGCCAGGGGCCAGAGAGCCCCTGTCCTCACAACCCTTCTTCCTGCCTAGTGCTGCTCTGGGCCCAGACCTGCAGGCTGGAGCTCTGGGGCTTCAGAAGGCGGGAGCCTGCCCTGAGCTTGGGGTGGGGCTTCCCTGCTCTGGTGCTGGGCCTAGCTGCCACTTGGGAACCTGTGTGTCCACGCACATGCATGTGGTGCCTCCTGTTCTAGGCCACCCCTCTCCTGATGCCCCCTCTTCCCAAGGGCCCTGTCATCTCTTCCTCCTATTCTCCCAGCCTGGGGCTGGAAGCCTTAGAGTCTCCCTTGGTTCTCCCTTCTCTTTCACGCTTCACGTCTAATATGTCACCAAGTCCTCCAGCTCAGGCCTACTTGTGACATTGCTCATGTCCCTCGACTTCTTTGTCTTCCTCCACTCCTTTCTCCCTCACCTGGACCACTGCAGCAACCACCACCACCCATCCCCCTCGGGCCTCCTCCACTCAGACTAAGGCATCCCCTGGCATCCAGGCTGGAAATCTGCTAGAAAGCTTTTGGTGACTCCCAGTGCCTGCAGGTCAGTCCAAACCTTGAGCCCCCTTGGGCCCTTAGAAAAATACCTTCCTCCCTCGTCATCACCCCACATCAGCTCTGGGCTGGTCTATCTGGAGGTCGGGTGCCCTCCCTGGCTCTGACTGCTGGTGGGGTGGGCACCCCCAGGCAAGCTCTGGCTTCCAGACTGTAACTCCCTTGCCTTGCAAAGCCTCGTGCCACTGACCCTGCCAGCATGCTCCCCACCCAACACCCCCACGTTGGTTCTGTCCAGACCTGGGACACACCCCTTTGCTGCTGCCAGTCCCTGCACTGTGAAGCCTGCAGCTTCAGTCCAGCCCTCCCAAAGGCCTCCCACCTCCTCCGCTGCAAAGGGGCCCTGGCATACTGATGTGCTTTGGGGGGGCTAAAGAAAGACGGAGGCACTGAGTCCTCAGCCCTGGGGCAGCTGCCAGAAGCCTCTGACCTGAGCCGACCTGAGCCGCCGCCTTCTCCTCCAGTACCTCCTCAGGTATTGCCATTGTTTATGGCGCGATGACCCTGTTCTCCGCCCCAGCTTGCTCCGAGTCACTGCCAACCAGGTGCTGTTTCTCTTCACTTCCTCGTTGTGAGTTTGGGTTCTCTGTTCAGGCAGGGAGGGTGCTGTTGCTGGGGACAGGGAGAGATGTTTGCTCTGCCCCTCTCAGCAACCACCCATCCCTGTCCCTGAACACAGACTGCCGTACTCCAGGGAGGCTGGAAAGGGCCTCCTGTCCAGGGTGGGAACCAGGAAAAGGAGGCCCCATCATGGAGTGGGGAGTGCCATACCCCAGCCACACGTATGGACAGCAAACCAGCTCACATTGGTGCATGCTTGTAGGCCACTCACACAAGTTGTATGCCCATATCTGTTGAGTAGGAACCCCATCCCCACCCTGACATGGATTTTCCCAGAGCGAATGTTTTCTTGAGCAAATAGTGTCATTCACAGAGTCACGTCATGACGTGGGCTGCTCTGCACAGCTCCTACGTGGGGTGGGACTCCTGGTTCCTGAGGCTGAGCCCCAGGGCCCAACCACGCGCAGACAGGAGCTCAGCTTCCTGCAATCAGTTCCACCAGCCCACCCCTTCGTTCCTCGTCTGCTCCTGTGGGAGTGGCATTGAAGGGTCCTCCTGCCTTCTGGAGAGTCTCACCCTATATTCTCTCCAGGTGGAACAGAAAGGACAGGGGCTTAGGAGGCAGTCAGGGCCAACTTCCAACCCAAGCCTCATGTCCTTGGACAAGCAACTTGCAGTCCCCAGCCTGTTTCTACATTGATAGAATGGGTCATGCTTGCTTTCTGGGGTTATGGTAACAGATTGATGGGCAATGTGGAGAGGGCACTCAGGATGAACTCCGACACCCAGTAGGTGCCATAACTTCTCTGTCTCCTTCGTCTGTGTTCCCTTGCATTTGGGGGGGGGTGGCATGAGTTAGGACAGAGGTGGGGACTTAAGCCACATCAGGGCCCGAGCCCAGACACAGGAGAAAGATGAGTCTCAGTGTGAGCCGCTTCATTTCCCTCTGCCCCAGGCCCAGGCAGTGGCCCTTCTGGTTGGAAGAAGCGCCCCCGCTCCCCCGCCATCTCTACATACACCACCCACCGCAGGGGCTTGGGCCTGATTCAGACGTCGGTGCTTCCAGTGCACAAGGGGCAGCTGTTTGGAGGTTCTGGAGATGAAGAGTTGGGTTCAGCTTGTCATGCAACTGTGTGTTGATGATCATCTCTGACTCTCAGGACATGGCACAGAGTGGGGCAGGAGCCCTGAACAGAACTAAATTCTAGTCCTCTCTCTGCTATTTGATTGCTGTGTGATCTTAGACAAATCATTTAACCTCTCTGGGCTGTTTGCCTCTCTGTATACTAAAGGGTGTAAACCCAATGATGCCTGTATTGGAGCCTGGGGTGGACTCTGCACTCAGCAGCAGGCTCCCCAGGAACTGCTCACACCTGCCCAGCACCTGCCACAGACATCAGCCGCCCTGGCAGGGGCTGTGTGCATTGCTGGAGAGCCAGGTGGCTGCTGGGGCAGAGCCAAAAGTGGCTGTGAGGCAGAGCTGGGGACTGTGAGTCCCAACCCCTAGGCCAGGAATTGAGGGCCCACTTCTGCTGGCAGATACCTCCTATGTCAGAAACAGGCCTTCTCAGGGCACCCAGGTCAGGGTCCTAGTGCCCAAGGCCCACCCCTTTCCTGGGCACTGGTGTCAGGTGTGGCAGGCAGCTTCAGACCCCAGGGGCCCAGAACCCCAGGCACATGGAGAAGGTAGTGAAACAGGTGAGTTGGCAAGCTCTGTAGCTGGGTTTGGACCAGTACTAGGGTGAGGCTGGGCAGGTGCCTAGGCACAAAGGTAGGGCCAGCTCCCAAGAGTGAACGCCTCCTGGCCCTGCATCCAGCTCCTCCCTGCACAGCTTCAGTTTCCTTGACTGAACAACGTACTCAAAAGAACCCACCTCCTAGGTTTTTGTGCAGATTAGGCGGGCTGAAGCGTGTCAGTGCTGGCACATAGTGGGCACTCAATACATGTTAACAATTGATGATGACATGGCAGAGGGCACTGTTCAGCCCTCTCCTTCGGGAAGTGGGGGAGTCCTCGGCTGAATTTGTGGAAGATGGTGCGGCTGGGGAACCAGGGGGGAGGCAAAAGGCCTGGGGTGAGATTCCCATTCTGGGCTGGGGGCAAGCCTGGATTCCTTTCTGTTTCTTGTCATGCCGAGGGCAGGTGGTCCTT